ACGGCCCTAAGGCTGGAAAATTTGGAGACCCCTGCCTTAAGGCAAGCGCTGCACCGACGTTACTCACTTAGCACTAACCATGAGGTGCGTGTAGATTGCAAATAAGCTACGGACACGGAGTAACACAACCTCCGCAACGCTCTACTATCCTATTAGACCGGGACCTACGGTTTAAAGTGGATTCCGAACCCCTACAAACACCCATGGCCCCCCCTGGACTCGAACCTGTGGTACCGAGAGCGAACCACTCGGCCATTCAGTTCCTATATCCGTATAGGTTTTTCTTTATATATTATTTTGTTTTTTCTCTAAGGTTATTTTTTTTTTCTTTTTCTATTCCTTTCTCATTTCATATTAAGCAGTCAGGAGCTGCTATCTATTGGTGATATTCGCAATTGCTTGGGGATAGTTTCGCCACGGTGACTGAGGGTTACTCTAAAATAAGTTAAATGATGGCTTAGATTAATTATACATATTTCTAGAAAAAGACATTGCTAATATTACAAGATAAACAGAAGATAACAATAATATATATACGATGTAAAAAATAAAAATGCAAAATAAACGATCACATTTTGTATGCAGACATATATAACAGCAATAGACATGAAAATTGTTTAACATTTAAAAATAGATATCGGTATCTAGTATATGAAGTTATTTATTTTTTTTTTTTTTAAGAAAATCAATATGTCTGTCTGATTTAGTGACACTTATATTATGAAATTATTTGTTTACCGATTTATATGCAACTGTTATTGTGTTTTTAATATCTTTTGCTCCAGTGGAACTAATGTGTTTGAGAAAATAAGCAGGTTTTTACTTTGTCCTTTTTTATCATTTTATGAGGACCAGTGTTAAGGTTTGTACAAGATAGGGGGTTCACGCAATCTACTCTTAAAAACGTGTGAATAAGATTTTAAAGAGGAATTGGCATGCAACCGAATTTAATTGATGCATGTTGTTTCGAAGTATTGTAATGAAATCATCACCAGATAGAGATATGACAGTTATATCCAAAAGGCCATTTGAATGTACAATGTGCAGTGTTTTTTTTTTTTTTTTTTTAATTGTAGAGTAAATCGAAATTAGCTATCGTATGTTGACCGTTTTCGTTGGCTTTTATTGCGTTCTACAGAGAAAAAAAAAGCAATGTTCTCATTTATCCTGAAAATATTGCATCAAAGTGTGTCACTAATAGAAACATCGGATGCATCTACTTATATAACAAGTAACATAAAAAAAAAAAAATTTTTTTTTAATCAATTCCTACTTTTTTTCACTATATTGCAGAAAGTCCTTTATAAATAATTTCATTTATTTTTTTTAAGTTTATCTGGCGCCATCTATTGGTAAATCTATGCAACTTAAATCTAAAAAAACTAAGAATAATTAATTAAATTTAATTACTGAATTAATACTTAAAAAGCTGTATTAACATCAAGTGTGTCATCCACTACAAGTTAAAAAATATATATATTTGAACTTGAGTGGATGAATAAAAAGCATTTTATAAACGATTGAAAATTTGAACAAGATATACATTGGGTAAAAAAGTATTGGCAATTGCCTTAATTTATTCATATTGACAAATAAATAAAATGTTATGCAATTTTAGCTGTCGTAATTAAATACAAGACATCTTAGATATATAAAAATAGTAAAAATTGTATTTTTAATTTGCATTTTCTACGATTTTTTTTCTTTCAAAAACGAAAATTTGTATGTCAAAAAGTATTTGCAAAGTTTTAACTGCTATGCAAATTTTGTTACATTGAAGTCACGTGTTTCGACTGATAAGAAACTCTAACCGGTATAAAGTCTGCAAAACTACTCCAAAAGTGTCTATGCATTATTTTGCGATTACTGCAGTAAAATGACTTCGAAATCGAAGGCGTTGGACGTTAGTGTTAAAAAACACGATTGTTAGGCTCAGAAATGAAGGTTTAACTTGTCGTGCTATAGGAGTGCAGTTCAATATAAGTTTATTTACTGTCAGAAGTGTTGTAAAAAAAAGTTCAAGGAAACAGGATCAACGGAAAATAAGACTAGAAGTGGACGACTTCGAATATTTTCTACAAGAGAAGAACGTGTCATTATTAACAAGGTTAAGAAAAACCCTAAAATAAGTGCACCCCAGATAGCTATAGATGTTGCTTTCACTTCGCAAAAGACTTTCAGCGTGCAGACTGTACGGAATGTTTTACACGAGAGAAGTTATTATGGAAGGGCAGCTAGAAAGAAACCATTCATTTCGGAAATAAATAGGAGAAAGAGGTTAGATTTCGCAAAATCCCACGTTGATTTATCTGAAGAGTTTTGGAACACAGTTATTTTTTCCGACGAATCAAAGTTTAACATTTTCGGCAGTGATGGACGACGATATGTGTGGAGGAGGCCAAATACTGAATTAGAAAAGCAACATTTAACTGCTGCTGTAAAACATGGTGGAGGCAGCGTCTTAGTTTGGGGCTGTATAGCAGCTAATGGAATTGGCAACCTGCATTTTATTGATGGTATTATGACAGCACGTACATACATTGACATTTTGCGCCATAACTTAAAAATCACTGCCCAAAATCTTGACTTGGGAACATCATTCGTTTTTCAACAAGACAATGGCCCCAAGCATACAGCGAATCTCAGCCGTGAATGGCTACTCTACAATGCTCCTCGCCAATTAAAAGCCCCACCTCAATCGCCTGACATCAATCCAATTGAAAATTTATGGCACCTGCTGGATCTAGAAATCAAGAAACATAAAATTTCAAGTAAAGACGACCTCAAACGTTTACTCTTGCAAGAGTGGCACAAAATTTCCAACAGTACAACAGAGATCTTAGTTTCCTCTATGAGAAATAGATTACAAGCTGTTATAGATGCAGAAGGTATGCATACAAAATACTAAACATATACTGATTTTGTTTTCGCTCATAATTTTGCCAATACTTTTTTTATCATGTAAATTTTGGATTTTCTCGTAGATTTTGACTAAAACATTATTTAAATGAAAATTTCGTTATATTTGTTTGTCTTTTCTCCTTCTGTAATCGCTATGTTAAAATAAAATTTGTAAACATACTTTGTTAGCAAATATGATTATTTATAGGCAATTGCTAATACTTGTTTTATCCACTGTATATAGGGAGAGTGTGAGCTAATAGAAGGAATTGAATTAGTTGAGCTCTTGGAATGGGATGTCGAAAAAGAGTGGTTTGATCCACTGCATTTTTAATATCATTAAAGGCTTTTTCATTCCTTAGAAGTTCTTCGCGTGATTTAAAAAAAAAGTTTAGAATGAGGTTTTTTTTTTTTTTTTGAAGAATATACATATCATATAAAAATATTCTTCATAAGAACATTCTGAAGTTCTTTTTGGATTAATACTTAAAAATATTGTTGTTGAAAATGGATTTAATGGTGTTGGTTGTTTTTTTCTTTTTCTAATGCAGCTAGAAAACACGTAGACGATTGTATTAAGACAAGCGCCGCACTGCGTTACTCACTTAGCACTATCCAGGAGGAACGTGTAGCTTGTAGAGAAGCTACGGACGCTGAGTAACACTACCCCAGCAACACTATATGATCCTATTAGACCAGGACCTATGGTTTAAAGTAGATTCCGAACCACTACAAACATCCATGGCACCGCCGAGACTCGAACCCGTAGTACCGAGCGCCACAACGCTAGCCACTCGGCTATCAGGCCCCCCAATTCTCAGAGGTTGATTAATTATTATTTTAGATGTATTTTGATGCTGATATTGAGTTTCCAGGACCTTTGAAATGAAATTCTTCCCCATCGTCAAAAATATTGTTTTGTAGGTGTTATGCATACTAATATTTGTATAAATTGGATCATATTGATGACTCGAGTGAAATAATGAAAACTTCCAACCTTTTCCAAATTTAATATAGTAAAAACCACAATTTATCATCCTTGCCTTGATCCATAACTACAACTCAGTTCTACAAAACGTTGAAAAAAAAACTCTTCTAATAGACTTGAAAAAATACTATATAAGGATTTATTCCCAAAATTATAAATCGCCACAACAAATTGTAAATTATTTAAGTACGGAAAAATTCAAATTCTCCACTATCAAGCCTAAGAAAGACCCCCTCGAAATCATCCTGAAAGATCTCCCTGTGAACATCAAAACAGATAACATTTTATTCGAACTTTTAGAGTCTCAACTTCAAAATAGTGCAACTGAAAAAATTACAAACTAAATCTCCATTACCAATTTTTATGGTCGAACTTCTAATACTGCCGAAATCTAAAAATTGACAAGTTGCTGTATCTAAAATTCCAGGTGGGAAAAAAATCCAACAATGAATCTTGTTGCACAAGGCTACTTTTCCCATTATGCAAGCTCTAACTATGAAAGTCGCCCAGATGACTGAAATGTGGAGATAAATTTTCCCATCATGCAAGCTCTAACTATGAAAGTCGCCCAGATGACTGCAATGTGGAGATAAGTTTTCCCATCATGCAAGCTCTAACTGGATGCCCAGATGACTGAAATGTGGAGATAAGTTTTATCTCCACAAAGAATGTGAAATGAAAGTCCCACATACATCAAGTCAAGTCGTGAAGGGGTTGTTCAGAAATGACAAGCCAAGAAAAGGATAACCAATAGAACCACAGTTTCCCTGATCTACTTACTCCCAACCACAAATAACTTAAAACAAGAATTTCTCACAAGCAATTTTTATAAATACCACTACTCCCACCCAAGTAATTCCTCGAACTTCTGTTTGTTGTTGTTTTTTATCCCACTTGGCTGGCCAAGCCCACGAGTACTCATGATTGAAGGGAAGGAAGCAGCTTCTGTTGTGATGGAGCACCCGTAGGTAGAAGTCTGACTTTGGCTCCGTGACGCTCTTACAGTCATAGGAGACCGGGACCTACGGCTTAAAGTGGATTCCGAACCCGATACCTGTGGCACCGAGCGCTAGACACTCTGGCCATTCAGGTCCCAAATTTGTGAATACCAACGGCACGCGGTGTTCCCAGGTGGTCACCCACCCAAGTACTAACCACGCCCAATGATGCTTGGCTTCGGTGATCTAACGAGAACCGGCAAGCCTTTCCAAATCTGTTTCAAGTGAACAAATTAAAAGCAGAAAATCCTTTAGACAAATTAGCAATTCTCGGACAAGATCTATCTTCAGAAGTTAGTGCTTCACATTAAATTCCTTCATTTCGCCTTGAGCATTAATTTTCACTGAATTTCATAATTTTTGCTTCATATTAAAACCAATATTCTTAACATTCCTATTTTTATCATGTTTTACAAGAGATGTGGCTCCTCCAGGGAGAGTGAGTATTGAGAAAACCCAAACGTCATTAATCTTCCATTGATATTCAAAGTTCAGGTAAGAAAAAATAATTCGTTGTAGATTTTCGGAATGCATTGGTCGCGCAGCGACCATAAACCTCCATCCTTGAAAAATAGGGTTCTTGTCGATTGGTCTAAGCCCATTGCCAGTGTGAAAAAAATGTTACATTTATAGAAAAAGTAGATAATTGAATAAAAATTACAAATAAATAAACTAATTAAAAAATTAGGAGATAAAAAAATACAGTAGGAAAGGAATTAAAATTACAAAATGAAAGCATACTGTAGCAAAAAGAAAAAATAGACTATAACGTATCCTTTTTGTTGATAATTATCCTGTGTATTGGTATTTAAAAAAATAAACTGTCTAGAAAAACGGCGTAACCGATTAATTGGACTAAGCGAGGTAACATCGTGATAATCGGTTACATCGATTTCCTGGACTGTACGTGGTATTAATGTACTACTGTGTCCAAAAAGTAAGACCACTTTTCGATTTAAAATTCCCGGAGATTATGGAATTTCATTTTTTTTTTTGTCTTTTTTAAGTTGCTGGCACTGTACTTGACATCTGTGGGAAATTTGATGTAAAATATTCATTAGTGTTTGAGTTACGCTTCGCTTTGTGAGACGCTAAAACTGATTCCACCGGTTTTAGAAATGTCTGAATTAATTGAGCAAAGATCTTGCATTAAATTTTGTTTGTGGAAACGTATAGAATATTGCAGAAGGCATTTGGTGAGCATTCCTATATCAGAAAGAAATGTTTAGAAGTGGTAAAAACAGTTCAAGGAAGGCAGAGAACGCATTGAAAACGAAGAGCCCTCTGGTCGACCATCAATCTTAACCGACGAAGCTTACGCCCAAAAATTAAAGGTGGTGCTTGCAAACCGTCAATTTACAATTAGAGACCTAGCTGATGTTGTTGAAATTTCAAAAGAATCAATCAATTCCATTTTGGGTCTTAAACGCGTCAAATCTCGATCGGTACCGAAAACACTGAAGGCGCCAGCCCACACTGCATAGATTCTTCGCCAAAAATGAAACCCATATCGTTCCACAACCACCGTATTCACACCATGCGACTTCTGACTATTCCTTAAACTCAAAAGAACACTCCAGGGACAACGTTTGAGTCGTTCAACGTGAATCACCGCGCGCTTTGAAGGCCCTCCCCTGCCGATGACTTTTTAGCATACATTGAGGATTGGAAAAAAAGTTGGCATAAGTGCATTGTGTTCAGAGGGGATTACTTTGAAGGTGATGAAATAAATTTGGAAGAATAAATGAAGAGTTTCTGAAAAAAAAAAATAATTGGTCTTACTTTTGGGCACAGTAAGTTTTCAGTTTTTACATAAATAAATATTTTCCTATTAAAATCAATAATCAGTTTGCATTTCTTTAGAATAACTGCTGTATCAATTTATTATAAATGAATTTGATTACATTTAAAATTTTTTAAGATTATAGTATTTATGTAATTTATATACAGTAGAACCTCTGTCAATCGAACTTCAAGGGAGACGGCAAATAATTCCAGTTATAGAGTTTTCGACTTATGGGGGGATTTAACTTACTTGGATTTTTGTAAGGAAATATTCGACTTGTAGAGGTTAGATTCTTTCTAACTTATTTGGAGTTAGAGAGGTAAAATGAATAAAAATTCAAGTTACACAGGTAATAAACATGTTTATTTACAACTTAAAAGATATTTTGTATTACAATAAAAAATCAAAATAATTCGAAACAACCTTAAAACTAAAAAAAAAAAGTCAATTATAACTTTTTTTTTTTTTTTTGCTTTAGGCAAATCGATCGTTCTCTATCTATAGCATTATCTAAGCTATAAAGAGCAGAAAATTCTTTTCTTCTGAGTTGCTATTTCATAAAATTGGTTATTCTATTTACTATACTGACTCATACATTATTTTCTAAGAAACAATGACGTGCATTGTCGGCAAATCCTTAAAGTCGGTAACTTACTTTTCTTCAAGCTATAGAGGTAATTAGTTTCAAATGATCGAGTTGAAAAAGGTTGTAAAAACAAACGTTGCTAATGTTCGAGATACAGTGGCCCAATTTTTTTTTTTTTTCGAGTTACGGAGAGAAAATATATACCAAAATGGCTTGTGGGGATTGACTAATTATTTCGATTTATAGAGGGTTGAAATTTCGAGTAATGGAGGTTTTGGGGCTTGAAGGGAAGAGAACAAAAAAATTTTTTCCAGTTGTGGAGGTTTTCGACTTATCGGGGTTCTACTGTATAATCTAAATTTATTTTCATTATATATGTTTATTTATAATTATATATATTATTTATTTTCTTTATATAGTTAAATGTACAATTATGGAGACCTCTAATGAATATCAAAAATTAATATAATGAACATCCTGCATGAGCATAACAGCATATAAATTAAGTCTACAGTTATTTAAGCTTATGAATTCCCAAACCTATGTAGATATACAGAAGTTTCTGGTTCTGCAGCATTACCTGTAGGGCTTTAAATCAAGTTGCTTTATTTCAGAAATCCCTTCAACTAACCAACTTTTTTGCCATATAGTGAAAAAAATACATGAATTAAGAAAATACAGAGAAGCATAACATTTCAGCATAAATCCTGCATTGCAATTTTTTGAAAAATAAATGTGCACAAGTATACATTCTTTATTAAAGACTGGATTGGTTGTAAACAGATCTTATAGAAATTAATGGAGCTAAACATATTAAACAAAAATAATGCACACTTATTTGCAATTTAGTAGTTGAAATACAAGTCCAGATCAGCCTGGAGAATTGCATGTTAGGATTCTAAATCAAGAGTACTTTTCAAAATTGTGGTGTATCATGGGTAACGTAAAATTTACTATATATGCTCTTCTAGTGACAATGACTTCAAATCAAAATCTTCAATTGCATTTGAAAACTGTTTTATCATGTAAAATAATTTACACTAATTTACAGTTATTATCAAAATAATTGTAATGAAAAAATACACAAATAAAATAAAAAAATACAAGAATAAAAGTAATGAACAGTTAAATAATCGATTTTCCAGTGTATTTAAATTTCTAGATATTATTTTAAATTTATTAATTAAAAATTTACTTAATGGAAAACAGTTTCTTCAAGACAAAATGGATTTAAAGTTTATCATATTTTTAATGAATAAATTTCCTTACAATGAAGATAAATTTAATATATATATAACTATACACAGCTGCAAAATTCTATAAACAAATGTGAACTAAATATTTCAATTAAAAACACATAATTCATATATACTTATATGTTCACACAAGAAAGATTAACTAGCTTCAAAGCTATATAAATTTAGTCTAAAACACAAATTTGAAGCATTTCATGTTCTGGTATTTGTTGTACATTTTCAGAATGAGTAGAAACAGTTGATGGTGCACTTTTTAGAGAAAGAATTGTGATATCTATGCAACTTCCACTTTCCATGTCAAGAGCATCAGGCGTGTCTGATTCATCAATTTGCTCACCATCGAATTTAAATACAAGATCTTTTAAAGGTAAGTTACATAAGGTAGCATATCGCACCATAATATCTTGAAACTTTTCTAGCTATAAAAATAAAAGGTAGCAAGATTAGCAAAAAAAAATCATTTATAATACTTGGATATCATCAGATAAACTCAAAATACCTTACCTTATGAGCATGCATCTCAATTCTCTTTTTGATGTCATTTGATTGCATTTTGATGCTAATTATATTAGAATCAGTTTCAATATTCTTTTTATCAAGAGGTTTGTAAGGGAGACATTCTAAAAAAAAAAAAAAAAAAAGTTTTGTAATTAATGAAATTTAGTTTGCAATTTTTTTTTAAAATTAATTAATTAGAAATTAATTTTTAAGCAAATTTTCAACATTTTATACTCAAACTTTGTCAGTTTTCACCCTTGAACTTAAGCCTTTTGTCATTTGCCATTTCTATGAGGTAAAAAAAAGAAAGATTACCTTATAGTAGAAGCTTTTTCTTTTATTCAAATCATCTCCTATTTGAATCAAACAGGATAAATATTCAAGAATTATTGGCCAATTTGATTGTGAAAAGGCAATTATTGAATAATCCCAATTGCACTATAATTATCCACACCTTTGCTAAATACATTTATCTATCTTTTAAAGACAATAGAAAGCTTCTAAAGATCTTATCAGTCATATTTTATTAAGTTAACTTGTTACCTTTAGTGTTAAGTAAACTGGCATTGCCACACAAATAATGGGTTCATCACTTTGCATACATCTAACTTTTATTCTCTATAACCGAATTGTATGAAGCATTATATTGCCCATTTTGTAAAAAAAAAAAACAATGAGGACAATGTAATTTATGGTTATATGACATTTTTCTCATGCAAACAAGTTTGTTGAAGGACATACTCAATGTAAACTTATTGTTTGTGATAAGGCCAATTTGAAAGTAAGCCTTTGTGATATGTGCTTAATATGAACAGGGTAACAGAATTTTTCTTAATTGTAAAAAAAAAAAAAAAAAAAATGCTACTCTGATCAGCTTAATCCTTAACATCCCCTTTCTTTTTCTTAAGAAAAAAAAACTTACATGAAATTTTTTTGAACTGATTCATATCTTTTCAGGATTTTCTGAGAATTTACAATCATAGTGACCTAGTCTAGTAGGAAACTGAGTTGGAATAACAACAACTTGTCTTACTATTTAAAATGACCATAAATATCTTTTTTGATAATTTCTTGAC